AATAAAAATATAAAAGATGAACAAAAATGTATTAGTAAAAATAAAAGCATTTGTTCTGTAAAATTTGGATTCAGTCAAAAGGCTGCACTTAAGGACCTAGAAGGCCACATGTGGACTTAAGGGCTCAGGTTCCCCCCCTTAAGGCCATATCACAGGCAGTGACAGTTATCTTACAGAACGGTTTTGCAGATTTCACTTAATTCAGCTTTTACCACAGGATGAGAATGGAAGTTTGAATGACTTCCTCCTTTTTTGTTATTCATGAGTCCATAACAGTAACATCACAAGACAGTAGATGGATATGCTTTGGAAACAGACAGAAAAGAATCCAGTTAGAATTGATAGCATCGGCTGAGGAAATAACCCCTGAACTAAATTGCAAAAGTCAAAACAGAAGTTAACAACAAAACAAATTATAATCATCATGAATGCACTGGCATCTCTGTGTCAGTGTTAAAGTAGTTTGATTTTGCTTTAGTCAAACACAGAGTTATAGGTTTCATCAATATTTAATATTATAGTATTAACAACAGAACTTGATATTCCATTGAGCGAATGCAAATCTACTGAATGTCGGGAAGCTGCAAGTCCAAATTCACTTTCCTCTGATACATTCTTTCCTGGAACAATTACTGAGTGCCTGCTATGTCCCAGGCATTGTTCTGAAACAGGGAGCTTATGTTGTAGTGGGGGTGAGAGGAAGACAGTCCATAAAGAATAAATATACTGACTTCAAATATGTTAGAAAATGATCTGTCCTATGGGAAAAGAAATAGATTAAATGGAGGTATAGGGAGGGTGGACCTTATTAAGAAGGCGCCATTTAAACAAAGACTCGAAGAAGGTGGAGCAGTGAGTACTGCAGGAAGAACAGACCAGACAGAAGTAACAGCCATTGTAAAAGTGAGGGGGGCCTGGCAGGGCCAAAGCTAAGGTGAAGTAAGCAATTTACTTGCCTTGGTTGTAAAATTTGAGGGAGGTGCTAAAAAACCTCAATCGGCATAAATAATATTTTAATGCAACAGTTTCAAAAATCAGAATTAATGCAGAAATTCACAATGGACAAAACTCTAAACAAAAACAGGTTCTGACCCCTAACCCTGTATTTGGAAGACTGTTTTCTCTCTTCACCCCCAGTCTCTGCTTAGTGCCCGTATGAACACAGGGCCAATGTGACACGCGCAGGGTGCTTGGGAGAGTGAGTAGGGTATAAGGTCAGAGAGAGAATATAGGGCCAGATCCAGTAGGGACTTGTTTGCCATCTTAAAGAATTTGTCCTAGACCCTACCTCAGGTCAAACAAGGCAACACTCTGCTTTGTTTCAGCTCTCATAAACAAGTGTCCTCAAGGTCTATCTAGTGTGCCACGTTTTTCACATTTTGTGCTTTTTTTTTTTTTTTTGGTGCGACTTTGCTGTTTAAAATGGCCCTCCAATGGTAGTGCTGAAGTGCCAGCTAGTGTTCCTAAGTGCAGGAAGACTGCGGCATGCCCTTATGGAGGAGTATGTGTCTTAGATAAGCTTCATTTAGGCATGAGTTACCGTGCTGTTGGCCATGAGTTACGAGTTCAATGTTCAGTGAATCAACAGTTTGTTTTAAATAAGGTGCTTTAAACAGAAACACACGTACGACAGGGTTATATATTGATCCATTGACAAAAATGTCGTGATCAAAGGCTTGCAGGAACCTAACCCTGTATTTCCCCTGGAGCAGTGTTTCAGTATTTGCTTGATCCAGTGTTTGTGACAACTTTGTAGAACATAACTACCATGACTGGTGAGAAGCCACTGTATGTATATATTCTGTGATTTATTATATGTATGTAAATCTTAGATCCCTTTGGAATATATCATGGTACAAGCCATGAGGTATGAATCCAACTTAATATTTTCCTAGATAGCTACCTGGTAGCTCCGGCACCAATTATTGAATAGTTCATTTTATCTTTGGTTTGGGCTAGTATCTGTGTCATAGACTAAATTCTCATGTGTATTTGGCTTTTTTTCTGGGTTTTCTATTCTGCTCCATTGATTTCTATTTTTATTTCAGTACCATACTGTTTTAATTATTGAGACTTTATGATGTGTTTTAATATCTAAAAGAATATTCACTGATGTGGCCAGATGGCAGATAAAAGCAGAAAATCCAGTCATTTGTCAGGTCCCTTGAGCTGAGTGGCCTGTTTCTCTTTGTTACCATGTAGATTCTATAAATCACAGAATTTGAGAGTTGAAAAAGAGTAAAGATGACCTTTGGTCTTCATTTTATAGATGATGAAAGTGAAATTCATAATTTTGGTGACTTCCTCATGTTACCCATTTCACGAAAGTCAGAGTCAAGATTGGACTTCAAATCTGCTATTTGTTCTGTCTCCTTAGGTGTGCCTCTGTATCTTGGCTATTCATGGGAAGAGTATATGCAGTTTAACTTTTCTGTTCCTTTTTATAGAATGGTAGTCGAAGAAGAACACCAGGTGGAGTTTTTCTGAATCTCCTGAAAAACACTCCTAGTATCAGCGAGGAACAAGTTAAGGTACTGATAATGGCTTTTAAGATCCATCACAATTTGACTTCCACTCAGCCTCTAGCTTCATTTTCTAAGAATCTCCATTTCCTGCTCTGCCTTAATGGACCGATGTTTGTCATTGTCTCATTTCAAGCAAAACTTGTGCCTTTTATAATGCCTCGCCTCCTCTTTTTCTTCCCTTATAGAGCCAAGATCAAGATTTCTTTTATTTTTTATGGTAGTTTTTCCTGGTCTCCTAGCACATAATTACTTTTTCTATCCTTTTAAAACTCTGTATTAATGAAAATTTTCAGAACAGATAGAGGAATAATAATTGAATATCCCCTGCCTAGGTTCAGCAGTCATTAAGAAGTATTTTGACATTCTTGACCTATATAATTTTTTCCTGTTCCATTTGGAAATAAATAGCAAATATCATGACACTCAGTTCTGATTATTTCAACAAACATCTGCCAATAATGACGATACCCTACATAACCACGCAAGACCCATTATCACTACTAACAGAAATAAAAACAATTTCATAGTATCGTCCAAGATCTAGACCTTTCTCCAGTTTCCTGAATTGTCCCACGAATATGTTTTATAACTCTGCGACCCTCCCACCAGGATCCAGTCTAGGTTTCCACGTTACATTTGTTATAGCTCCTTTGATTCTTTTTAACCTCACACTTTCCTTCATGATTTAAACCTTTTGAAGAGTTCAAGATGGTTATCTTATAGAATTTTAGGTTATGTTATTATCATTCTGGTGATTGTCTCCTAATGGCTTTGTTTCATTCATTCCTCTATCTACGATATTTCTTATAAACAAGAAGGTGTAGGCACTTTAGTTTTCTTAATCATTTTTGTGTTGTTGGTAATGTCTTATATGGGATTCTTCTACGTTGTAGGTTTTTCACAACTTAAAATTTGGTATTTTTTAATCTGTTAATCAGGGAACATGATTCACATTTAGCATTCGTAACCAAGATTGAGAACCAGCCTCTTACGTAGGAAGGAGGTGGGGCACATCCAACATAGCTGCTGTATTTGAGCAGCTGTTTTCTTTATCGTAACAGTGGGGTAATAATAGGAATGTGTATTTTAGCCATGCTGACCGTCATACTAATGGTGACGATAAATAAGCCATTTATCTTGAGCTGATGCTCCTTGTGAACATATTTTACATCTGCATCTGCTTAATGTTTTTTCTTTTTCCTTAAATTTCCTGACTGTTCATTTCCAGTCATTTTTTAAAAATCTGTTACATAGAGATTTCCATAAGAAATGTTAACTATTTTACACATCTGAAATCTGTGCAGCTGCTTTTTCCCCCTCATTGGGACAACTGTTTTGATAATGTGATTTGTAACATTGTAAGTTTCCTTAGGAACACCAACTATTGAGTGGTGAAACAGAGATTATACTTGAGTGTTCTCTCTCATCCCCCAATAGAATCCTTGACAAAAACTACGTACTTAAAAGATTTCTTTTTCAGTTTTTGTTTGATAGCAAAATGTTACCCTTTTTAATCTTAATTTTGCTATTTAGTGATTATGTGACCATGAGGAGATCACTTAATCTCCCTCAGTAACAATTTTCTCATCTGTAAAGTGGGAGCCTTAATATGTGCCCTATTTAATAGAGCTATAAAAGAAATAAAGTGATACCAAGAAAAGCTTTTTGTAAGTAATTAAACTTTAGACAAACAGTTTCCAGAGGCTGAGGAAAAGAAATACTTTAACATTTATTGACTATATGCCTGGCACTGGACCAAACATTTATACTGTATAACTTAATTTTCACTTCAGTGTGTCAAGGTGGGTGTTAGTTACCCTGTTATGCAAATGAAGAATGATCAGTTATGTGCCTGGGATCACATAGAACACTCTGACTCCAAGCCCATGATAGAGTTGTTTTCACTGTATCACATGTCTTTGTAATTTAGTTATTCTAATTTATTGTGACGAAGGGCATTTTACTGTTAGTAGGGGGGGGTTCTATTCTATTCTAGAATATTCTATCCTATTTCTGTTCTATTCTTCCTCTGTTGCCTGGCCTAGAATGCCATGGTGTCAGCCTAGCTCACAGCAACCTCAAACTCCTGGGCACAAGTGATCCTGCTGCCTCAGCCTCCCGAGTAGCTGGGACTGCAGGCATATGCCACCATGCCTGGCTAATTTTTTCTACTTTAGTTGCCCAGCTTCTTTCTATTTTTAGTAGAGATGGGTCTGGCTCTTGGTGAGGCTGGTCTCAAACTCCTGCCCTCAAGTGATCCTCCCGCCTCCCTGAGTGCTAGAATTACAGGCGTGAGCCACCACGCCCGGCCCTGTTAGTAGGTTTTTATGTTTAACTACCAGAAACTTTGCCTTATAATAAAAAAACAGAAACATTTAGAGTATGTAATAATAATAGGGAAATGTTGACCTATAAGGCCATTCTTCAGAGGACTATCCTTTAACCTCTATTTTTATGAAACGGTTTTAAGAAAATGAGAAAATGCAGTAATACTGAATTTTTTACAAAGGCTAAGTACAAAATTATAAATTAAAAAGAGACATGGGACAATAGACTGGAAAGCAAACACCAAAATGTTACCAATGATTTGGTCTGTTGTGAGGGATTATAAATGCTTTGGGTTTTTTAAGGTTTTTCTGAATTTTCTGCATGAACATGGATTGATTACCTTTGTTATTATAGGGAAAAACCTGAAGGCAAATAAAATTTTACTGCAGGTGATTTCATATGCCATCCAAATGGTGGTATCGTAATTATTATTTTAATGACAATATTTCTAACAATCACCATCTGTAGAACTTAGAAGCCAGAACTGGACTGAGTGGGTTTGTTTTCCTATTTTTTGTTATTTCGTTTGGGTACATGACCTCATAATTGCTTAAGTTTTGTTTTAGAAATTACAACGTTTGTGAAGAAAAAATAGTTAAAAGTTTATTTGCTGTATTAACAAAACTGTAACAGTGTCCCTCTGTAAAAGAGTACACAGTCAGGTTCTTACTTTCAGAGTTAATTATATATACATACGGATGGGAGGAGAAAAACATCTCCCTAAAATTGTCTGTATTTGTTTGTTGTAAGGACATTAATAACATGTTGCAACATTTTGTAGGGGGCATTGCCCACTTTGTTCTATTCATAACCCATGGGAAAGAAGTTCCTTTTTAATAAGGCTCGCCATATTTGGAGGGGAAGGGGGAACTTCATAAAATTTACTCAGTGTTGCCAAGCATTGTACAACCTAGAATTATTTTCATCAAGATTCTTGCATGTGGGCCGGGCGCGGTGGCTCACGCCTGTAATCCTAGCACTCTGGGAGGCTGAGGTGGGCGGATTGTTTGAGCTCAGAAGTTCGAGACTAGCCTGAGCAAGAGCGAGACCCCGTCTCTACTAAAA